GTGCACGAGGAGCACGAGGAGGACGAAGAGCAAGAGGAGGCCTCGTGGGCCGAGGCTCTTGCGGAACAGTGCGATGCCGCAGTTGCGGCACCTGGGCCTCAAGGATCCTCGGTATCCATGGACTGCGTGGTCGACGCAGAGGCGGCCGAGCAGGTGGCAGTGGCGACGTCCTTGGCAGAAACGCTCCGCGAGGCGGAAGATATGCTGCGCCAAGTGGGCATGGAGAAACTAGCGCAGGATTGCCGACAGCAACGACACAAACAAAAGAAGCGGTTGAGAGAGCTGGCGCGGGAGGACAACGAGGTCCTACGAGCGTTGACTGCCCAGCGAGACCACGAAGCCGCAGTGGTGGCGAAAAAGCGGCGCCTGGCTCTGGAAGCGAACGACAGGACGAAGGCGTTGCACGATCTCAAGAAGCAGATTCGAGAGGCCGAGGCCGCCTTGAGGGCAAAGAAGGAGGCCGCAGTTGCGGTGGAAACGGCTTTGGCTAACAAACACGCCCTAGCGCAGTGGAATCCCGAGGAGTTCAAGATCAAGAAAAACAGGATGGCAGCTCTGGATCGCCTGGCTCGCGGAAAAGGCGTCCTCTCAGACGAGCAGAGGGGGGAGTGGGCATGGTTCAAGACGCATTGGGACGAGGAGATGTGCAAGCAGCACAAGGAGCAATGGCCGCTCACGTTTGCTGGGTGGCTGCAAAAAGTCGCGAACGACGCGGCGTCTGGGAACCGTTCGGCGCTGTCGCAGTTCGTGCATTCGGAAACAGTGAGAACCCTGGGAGGGCAAATGGCGCTGGTAATCCCAGCCCTAGCGTGATGCAGGCCGCAGTTGCGGACCCACAGGAAGTCCAGAGGGAAGTTGTTTTTCCAAGCGGCTCCCGCGCGGGCAGGAGATGAGGCAAAACCGCAGTTGCGGTCTTCCTGCTGCTGTGAAAATAATCCTTTCACAGTCCCTTGCAATCGTCGCCCTCCTTCTGCTTCTCCGCCAGTCCATTTGTTGTTCTTTCGGTTCCTTTGAGTCCTCGCCCTCCTTCTGCCACTCCTCGAATCCTCTTTGTCTCCTCCCTCCATCCGACCCCATGCCCGTTCACGATCCATTTCCGTAGCCACCGTGGCTCGAGGTGGCGCACGCGAAGACGCAAGCATGTGGCCGCCCGCGCGCCCGAGCGCATCCTCAGGGAGTATGGACCGTGGACCTCGATTCGCCAGAACGGTGTTCATCCACAACGCTGAGGAGGAGGAGGGAGGCAAAGACGAGGAAGCCGCAGTTGCGGATGATGACGACGACCAGCGGACGCAAGATGGCGACAGCACCGTCGCGTCCTCGGCTGCCTCCGCTGACGAGGCTGAGTCCCGGGGAGGTGCGGGAGCCGCAGTTGCGGCAGCACATGACTCCTACATGCCGAGAGTGTTGTCGTCGCGGAGACCCTGGAAACGGGTGCCCATCATCGAGACAAGCAATCTGTCGGAAAAACAAAGAGCTCTTGTCGACGCATGGGAGGAGAAAACGGAGTTCGAAGCGGGACGGGTCGGCTTCTACGTGGCCAACTTCGGAGGGACTGCAGCTAGACCCACGCAACGCGCGGACGAGTGGGCGCAGCTCCGCGCGAACCCTGCCCAGATCATCGCCCTCTGCGAGTGCGACGACGAGACCTGCGCGGTACTCAGTGGGGAGCACGACGCGAGGGACAGTGCAGCCGCAGTTGCGGACGATAGGTTTCGGAGTCGGACTCAATACAACTACCTGTGCGTTAAGGGCGGCGAGCCATCAGGGACCCTCCTTGTTGGCATGAGGGACCGCAGTGGCGGCCACATTGAACACGTAGACTTTGCGAGACTCTTCCACAAGCAGGAGAAGTCCAAAACGAAGAAGAAGAAGAAACCGTCCGCAGTTGCGGAGGCTCCTGCGCCAAAGCTGCACAACAAGTACTCCAGGGCGATGGTGGTGCGCGTCCACCTGGACCAGGCCGTGACCCATTTGGGGGGCTCCTTCAACGTCATGGCGGTGCACGTCCACCACAGCTTGGCCAACCAAGACTGGGGCGTCACGAAGCTCCATGAGTTCTACAACTGGTTCGTCGCCTACGTCAGGGAATGGGACGTGAAGGTCTGCATGGGGGACTTCAACATGTGCATGTTCCAGCTTGTGTCCTGGTGCCGCAATTGCGGCCTGACTGTGGACGTCGCCGCGTGGACCCCCTGGAAGACAGCAGGCGGCCAGCCCAGGGCAGACAGCATGGCGATTTTGTTCATAAACTGTCCTGGGCAGTACAAGCTTCACCATGGCCTGAGTGTTCTGCACGACCGTGAGGGCGGATTCTTGACGACCCAGCATGATCCGTCTTTCCCTGTCTTCGACTACACGAATGGCCCTGGGAAGATGCTTCAGACTTACGTGCCCAAGGCTGAGCCCGTTGAAAACAAGATGCGCGCCTTCCTGACGCCATCTGGCGAATCCTTGACCGCAGTTGCGGAGTTCGAGCAAAGGATGGCGCGCAGGGAACGCGACGATTGGGTGCGCCATCCCTTCAGAGTGAAGCAGGGCAACCTCGACGACAAGATATGGCATGGCGCCTTCGGCAGGGCGAGGCACGGAGCGCACTTCCCTCTGGTGGCTTTCACGCACAATACGTGCCGCAGGTCACCTGAAAGACTCGCCGCGAGGTTGGAACGCAGGAAGGGCGGCAGGAAGGGCGGCAAGAAGGGCGGCAAGAAGGGCAGCTACGCGGACACCGCAGTTGCGGGGAAGGGCGTCCGACCCCAGATGGGAACCGCAGTTGCGGGGAGAGACGCTGGGGCTGAGCGAGCTGGGAACACGCCACCGCCGCAAGCTGCCAACGGCGACGATGCGACCCCTTCTTGTGCCGCAGTGGCGGCTGGGTCCTGGGACGCCAGCGGCAGCGGCGCATGGGAGGCGCGCAGTCCCGCCACGAGATGGCAGGGCTGGTCCTGGTGGGACTGGAGCTCGAGCGAATGGGGCGCTGATGGCGCGCAGTGGTGGCCCTCTGATCATGCCGCAGTTGCGGACAATGCCCCTGAGGGCTCGCCTCCTCAGCGTGAAGTCGAGTGGGGCTCGAGCGGGCGACCTGCCGAGCGCCCTCCGCGGAGCTTCGAGGGGCAGCGTTGGTGATGGCCGCAGTTGCGGGCAAGTGGAGCATGATGTTGATTGCCGCAGTTGCGGACAGTGTACGCTGGAAAAATCATCATCATCATCAATCATAATCATCATCATATCATCATATCATACGTTCAAAGCAGTGCCGGGGCACTGCTTTGAACGCGTTCAAAGCAGTGCCGGGGCACTGCTTTCGATCGTCGCCTCGTCGCCGTTATAAGGGCTTTCGGATTACTGCGCTGGGCCCCTCAGCAGCCCTCGAAAGTGGCGACAGCTTCACAGATCGCAGCCCCCCAGGGATGGCGAGGTCCCATTTGAGTCTGCGGCGAGTACCCACTTATGCTGGGCCCCTCAGCAGCCCTCGAAAGTGGCGACAGCTTCGCAGATCGCAGCCCCCCACGGATGGCGAGGTCCAATTTGAGTCCGCGGTGAGTACCCACTGTGCTGGGCCCCATCAGCAGGCCTCGAAAGTGGCGACAGTTTCACAGATCGCAGCCCCCCAGGAATGGCGAGGTCTAATTTGAGCCCGCGGTGAGTACCCAGTGTGCTGGGCCCTTCAACAGGCTTCGAAAGTGGCGGCAGTTTCACGTATCGCAGCCCCCCAGGGATGGCGAGGTCTAATTTGAGTCCGCGGTGAGTACCCACTGTGCTGGGCCCCCCAGCAGGCTTCGAAAGTGGCGACAGTTTCACAGATCGCGGCCCCCAGAGATGGCGAGGTCCCATTTGAGTCTGCGGTGAGTACCCATTGTGCTGGGCCCTTTTCAGCAGGCTTCGAAACTGGCGACAATTTCGCAGATCGCGGCCCCCCGGGGATGGCGAGGTCTAAGTTGAATCCGCGGTGAGTACCCACTCTGCTGGCCCACCCAGCAGGCTTCGAAAGTGGCGACAGTTTCGCAGACCGCAGCCCCCCAGGGATGGTGAGGTCTAATTTGAATCCGCGGTGAGTACCCATTGTCCTGGGCCACCCAGCAGGCCTCGAAAGTGGCGACAGCTTCACAGATCGCAGCCCCCCCAGGGATGGCGAGGTCCAATTTGAATCCGCGGTGGGTGCCCACTGTGCTGGGCCCCCCAGCAGGCCTCGAAAGTGGTGACAGTTTCACAAATCGCAGCCCCCCAGGAATGGCGAGGTCTAATTTGAATCTGTGGTGAGTACCCACTGTGCTGGGCCCCCCAGCAGGCCTCGAAAGTGGCGACAGTTTCACATATCGCAGCCCCCCAGGGATGGCGAGGTCTAATTTGGATCCGCGGTGAGTACCCACTGTTCTGGGCCCCCCAGCAGTCTTCGAAAATGGCGACAGTTTCACATATCGCAGCCCCCCAAAGATGGCGAGGTCTAATTTGAATCCGCGGTGAGTACCCACTGTGTTGGGCCCCCCAGCAGTCTTCGAAAGTGGCGACAGTTTCGCAGATCGCGGCCCCCCAGGGATGGCGAGGTCGAATTTGAATCCGCGATGAGTACCCACTGTGTTGGGCCCCCCAGCAGGCTTCGAAAGTGGCGACAGTTTCACAGATCGCAGCCCCCCAAGGATGGCGAGGTCAAATTTGGATCCGCGGTGAGTACCCACTGTGCTGGGCCCCCCAGCAGGCCTCGAAAGTGGCGGCAGTTTCACAGATCGCAGCCCACCAGGGATGGCGAGGTAGGGGGGAAGAGAGGGGGGGGGAGGAGGCAAGGAAACGCGCGAGCAGTGCTCTATTCAAAACGAGAACCCAACGCAGGAGGGTTGGGAAACATTGTACGGGAACGTTTTTGTTTTCCTTTTTCCTTAATCCCATTGTTGTACGATTGTTAAATCTGTTTTGACTATTTTTTTTGGTTCGCCCCAAATCCGCCTGTAGGCGGACACGCCCGACCCAACGATAGCTCCTCCTGCCCCCCACCTCGCCGAGAGGCAGACCGCGGCATACAAGGCCGTGCTGGGCGTCGGCGCGTCCCACATCCGCGCCCCCGCCCGTCGGGCCGCGCCCCCCGCCCCACGGCGCCTCCCTCCGACATCCGCGGCCCCGCCGTGCTCCCCCGGGGGGGGCGGTGCGTCGGCGCCTGCACGTTGACACCAGCGCGGCAGGCTGGCTGCGTGGCGGGTCAGGGGCAACGATGGGGGGGGGATGGGCATAACTATAGGGGGAGGACGCATCGGCCCCCAATCGCCCATGGATCGCCGATGGGGCCCGATAGCCCCAGCCTGCCCAGGAAGGTGCGCATTCGCCAGCGGGGGCCTGTCGCCGACCTGTCGGCGATGTGTCGCCGAGTCCGGGTCGATGCATCCTCCCCGATGCCAGGTCCCCCCCCCTCATCGTTGCGCCTCAGCGAGGGGGCTCTTTCTGGTGGCCGCGTTGCGGGCACGGCCGGACCCCCGCGGCCGCGCCGCGGGCTGAACCGAGAGTTTCCTGATGTGCACTCATCCGGAGGCTTGTGGAGGACGATCAATTTGGGGGCCCCAAACGGTGCGGTGTCCACACCGTGCGGTGAGTCGGTGGGGATTCGGGGTCACCGCACGGTTTTGGGACTCGGGTCCCTCTCCGAGGACGTCTCGGGCGACAGAGGCATCCGGGGTCCCAAGACCGTGCGGTGACGGACCGTGTGGTGAGGTCTTCGGGGATTTCGAGGTCACCGCACGGTCGGTCACCGCACCGTTTCGGGACTCCAAATCAATGGAGAGGAGGCATGTTGCCAAATGATTCCCAGATGTCTAAAGCATGTTTTGAACATGCTTTGAACATGTAGAAACATGTTTTACAAAGATGTTTAAGAACATGTCTCAAACAGTTTTAAACGCATCTTTAACCCAATTGTCGGATTGTTTGGGTGTCCGTTGTCATGGCGTCCGCAACCAGAGGAGCAGAACTTGGTTCCAAGACTGGCAGGTTTCCATGGCGCCCCGCGCGGCCTGGCACGCACGGCCGAGCACGAAGAGCGGAGGGCAGCCGTCTGCTCCACGATGCCCATCGTTTGTTAAGTCGGGCCTGTCCCGCTACAGGAGGGATGTTCGGAAATAGATAAAAGATAGTCCGGGGATTATTTTTTGACTATTTTCGAGGATCTGGGGATGACTCTTAAGTTGTCGCCCAAACTCCCCCTGTAGGGGGACAGGCCCGACCTGACGTTTGTTCTTGGCCAAGCGTGCTTATCATGCCACCGTGCTCGCCCTCGTCGAGCGAAGTGCGGTACCTTGGGGGCGCCGGGCCTGAACGGGGCCCGCCATGGATCCATCGCCGGCTCTCTCGGGCACCCGCTCCTGTCACAGCGGGCCGGTCTGCCTCTGTATTGTTGCCCCTGCCCTGTGCTCTCCACCTCCTCGCTCTCCCGCTCCCGTCCTCCAGCGGGGCAGAGTGCACAGCAGGAGCATCCGCCCGGGGGCCCCCCGAACCAGTGGCGGAGACCACACTGTGTGGTGAGTCCGTCGGGCTGTCGGGTGACTGCGCGGTGGTGGGACGGGGGTCGTTCTCCAAGGGTTTCTCGGGCGAGGGGGGTCTCCGAGTCCCCAAAACCATGCGGTGACGGAATGTGCGGTAAGGTCTGCGGGGGTTCCGAGATCACCGCGCGGTCTGTCACCGCAACGTTCGGCGACGGACCGTGTTGTGACTTCGGACTCTGCCAGATCCAGCGGCAAGGAATAACGGAACGCGTGTCGACTCACGGATACAAGTTTCCCGGGAATGCCAATGTCTTGGTTCATCAACATTCCCGTTTTGCAGGTCGTACGAAACAGTCGCGTAAGCATAGGTTTTCAGAAGTCCGTGACGGATTCTCCCAGCGCCGATTCAAGAAATCCGCGAGGGCCTCCGAGAGTTTGTGTAGGTGATCGTTTTTTTATTCAGCTTTTTGCCGATCGGCGCGGGCCCTCGCAACCCCCCCCCTCCCACCCCCAATGGAGTAGATCTTGGCTGTTTTTTGGCGCCTGTTTCAAGCGGGTGGAGTCTCCTCCAGAGGCAGCACTCTTGCAAACAGTCGCACTCAGCAGAGGTCTGGAGCCAGCCAGACCCCCCCCCCCCTTCCGCCCAATGTCGAAACGCCGAATAAGAAAAACGCCCACCAGGTGGTCTTCCTACGGGGAGGGGGGGGGAGGGAGTGCGAGGGGGGAAGGCGGCACGGGCTCTCGCCCCGTCCTCGGTGATAGCCAAGCGTGGGCACAGATGTAGCACGGTATTCCATGTGCAGTGGGGACCCGCATCAAGAGGCCAGCCTCTTCTGCGTCGGGGTGCATTGGGTGTCTTCGCTTGGCCCGATCTGTCGTGACTCTCCCGCGGGCGCTCAAACGTAGCTGCACACAGAGGGCCCTTTGGAGGGCCTCCCCGCGCGCGGATTTGAACGGTCGGGTGTCGTGCGATGGTTTCCTGCGGCCGCCTCCGCTCCGTAGCTCAGGGTGCCTTCACGAGTGCGTTGTCGGTCAACGTGCTCAGTCCGCCTCGGAGCCCCTCCCAGAGTTTTCCGCTGCGGAGACGCGGTGCGGGCGCAGGTTTCATGATGCAGAAGACGCGCCGCCTGCGCCCTCGGGAAGGGAGGCAGAGGCAGGGGCGTGGTCGTGGTGCGGGGTCGAGAGGTCGATGCGGTGACCACAATGATGACGACGATGTTGAGCATGATGATGCATAGACCTGGTGATGACGATCAGGGTGATCATCACGATGACGGTCGTGTTGCTCATGACGATGCGCAAACATGGTGGACATCGTGATGGTGATCAGGATGACGTCCAGTAATAAGAACCATGTATAAACAAACGCTTTCGGAGGTCCGCGCGGGTTTCGGGAATCGGCGCTGGAGTCCCCCGGCGACGCCTCTGACGCCTTCCCTGACGTGCTCCGCGCGCCACGGATGGTGGTCCAGCGCCGATCCAAGAACTCGGCCCTGACCTCCGAGAGCGTTCACATGTTCACCCATTCTTGTTCTGTAGACCTGGCATCGCTCGGACGTCGGACGTGTGCATTTGTTTCTCGGCGAGGACCATCGAGGAGCATGCTGGGACATTTTGCGAAAAGAGCAACGCACGAGACCGAGAAATGCACGGGGAATGGACGTCCGAGCGATAGCAGGTAGACTTTGCTTGATTCGCCTGGCGGGCGTCCGTGGGGGCCGCGTGGGCGCCCCTTGTCATGGCGCCAGCCTCGCAGAGCGGATCTCGTTCGGGAAGCGATGGGATGGGCCCGGAGTGCCCTGGAGAATTTCGTTCTGGATTTCGAGGTGAATATCGTGCTGATTTTCTGGGGGGCCAGGAATGAAGACTAACAACAATTCCACGCGAAATTCACTTCGTTGTTCCCTCGCCGTTTCTGGGTCTTGCGTTGGCAGAAATCCACGCACAAAATTCGGCTGCAGCACTTCTGCAAGGTCGGTGCAGTGACATTCTTGTTCCGTAGACGGGTAGGGAAAAAACACACAGACACTATCGATCGTCGATTCCCCAGAGAATAGGGGAAGATATGGGAGGTGGGGGGGCAGACAGAAACCCAGAAAACATAGGAAAATAGGGGGACTCCTGTTACTCGTGTCTGTTCATCTGTGTGTCCCCGGGCCCCTCCCGTAGATTTCGCTCGCTTCGCCCGGCGGGCGGCCGTGGGCGCCTCGTGGGCGCCCCGTGCCGTGGGCCGGGCGCGGGGAGGCCTCGCCTGGCCGGCGCCTCTCGTGGGCGCACCGTGCTAACGCTCGGGCAGCCGCGGCGGAGGGCCCTCGCAGGGCGGGCGGGGCAGGCGCCCCCGGCGGCGCCCCTGCACGCGCAGGGGTCGGGCGCGTCCCTCTCCACAGGGGGGGACACCGCTCGGGAAAGGCCTGGCTTGGCCGGCGCCTCGTGGGCGCACCGTGCTAACGCTCGGGCAGCTGCGGCGGAGGGCGTTCGCAGGGTGGGCGGGCAGGCGCCACCGGCGGCGCCCCTGTGGGGCATAACCATCGGGGGTGGACAGAACCCCCAACAGTGACACGTCGATTAGTGAATTGTCCGTTTTAGGTTCTCGAGAGGGCGCCGCGGCCGTTATTTTCCAGGCTTGCGCCCGCCAGGTTTGGGCCTCAGGTCGTTTTCACTAAACCACGTTTTACTAAATGGAGGTCTGTCCATCCCCGATAAGGGGGCCCAGTGAGTAGTAGGGCCTCGGAGCCCCTAAGTTGGCCAGAATCACTCCACTAGGTCTGCCGCAGCTGGTGTTTTTCGGGTGGCGGCAGTGCCGGTTGGTGGATTTGGGCGGGGGGGCGTCCCCCAGTACACATCATCAAACCAGGTCCCACTAATCCCAGTTCTGCCAACGCCCGACCCTGTACGCGTAAGTCGGGCGTGTCCCTCTACAGGGGCAAGATTCTAAAATAGTCTTGAAATAGCCTAGAGACTTTTTACAATTTCATGTTTAATCATTTGTGTTGCATGTTTGTAGTATTTTTCCTGTATTTTCATTTTTCGTTCAAAATCCCCTTGTAGGGGGACATGCCCGACCTAACTGTGCGCCTTGGCGGGTGTGGCGCGGTTTCGCCGGGTGGTCGCCGTGGGCCCCTCGTGGGCGGCACGTGGCTTACATTAAGTCGGGCCTGTCCCTCCACAGGGGGAGTATATTCAAAAATAGTCGAAAATAGTCTGGGGGGGGTTCTTATTAGTATGTTTGATGATTTTTAGGTTTTTTGTGCGTGTGTGTGTGTGGCAATTTTCACTTGTCGTCCAAACCCGCCTGTAGGAGGACACGCCCGACCTAAGACTTACGCCATAGCGGAGTGAGGGGGCCGAATGGTCATTCATTGTCCCTGGGTGCGTGGCTGAATGAGGAATTCATTGTGAGAATTCTGCTTGCTGCGTTGTTGTTGTTGTCGTCGTCGCTGCTGTCGTTTGTTGTCATCGTCCCACCCGCGACCCATCCCGCGCGACCCACCCCGCGACCCACCCCGCGACCCACCCGCGACCCAATTCACAATCCAACCGCGACCCACCCCGCGACCCACCCCGCGACCCACCCCGCGACCCATCCGCGACCCACCCCGCGACCCACCCGCGACCCACCCCGCGGCCCATCCGCGGCCCATCCGCGAGCCACCCGCGACCCACCCCGCGACCCACCCGCGACCCACCCCCCACGACCCACCCACAAGGAAGGAAAAACACTCGGACCCGACAGTTGGCTTTTACTAACACGGCCCTGGGCGTTGACAAGACAGCCCTGCCCCGTTCGATTCATTCCTTGTGTGCGTTTACTAAACGGCTTCGCTTGTCGGGTGATCATTCTGGGGTGGATTTTCTGCCCTCTACACTCGCGACCCACCCGCGACCACGGCGACCCACCCGCGACCCACCCGCGACCCACCCCGCGACCCACCCCGCGACCCACCGTGACCCACCCGCGACCTGCCCACATTGGTTTAACGAAAAAATGTGGCGCCTGCGGCGGGCTCGTTGTATATTTTGTGCAACTTTGGCGCCTGCGACGTGCTTCTCCAGAGTCTCGCAAACTGCCGACGTCCCCACCGCCCCTTCACTCTTATCCGCATCTGCGGGGTCCTACGTCGCTTATTCCACATCGATGTCACACACTACTGACAGCACATAACTTACAGTCAACCCGCATGGCAAGGATGAGCGAGTTTCCAAGGTTACCCCAGCAACCTTGCCCTTCGGCCCATCCTTGGCCCTTTCGCTAGTCGCGCCCCGCTCGCAAAGTGTCGACCCGGCCTTCCAAGGCCCTTGCATAGTTCTCGCGCGTCCCCATTATACGGGTTGATTGTATACACTACATAGCTGACGCCACGCATCTTACACCTCATGATACACCAGATAGCTCGCAACACATGGCTTGCACTACATCGCGTTCACCACATAGCTTTCACCACATAGCTTACACGACATAGCTCACACACAATATATAGAGTTCACACATATTGCACCACATAGTAGCTCACTCGTCCACACTGTCGTAATTCACAATTTTGGGCCCGCGCTGGCAAGCACTATTCTGGTAGATGATGGCGGCATGGCGACGACGACGACGGCAAATTTCGGTGATCACGACTGGTGGGAGCGATGGTGACGACGACGAGAAGGGGGGAGGCGACGGGCATCGAGCAACGATGTGTGCGCGGTGGGGGAGCAGGAGGCCGCAGGGCTGCACCGCTCAGCGGAGGCGGGCGCGGGGGCAGGAGGGGGAAAGCGGGAGCGGGGGCAGGAGAAGCTGGAGGAGCAGGGGTGCCGTCGACAGGAAACGAGCCTCGAGCACACCCTCGCCCTCCGGCGTGGATGGGAAGAGAGACGTTCGCGTGGATGCGTCGTTCCCCGAGCGCGTTCCACTACTCGCAAAGTGCCTACTCGCAAACGTCCGAACAACACATGGCTGCTTTGATGTAATTTATCGTAGATCCCCCGCGGGGGATCCGGGCCATTTGTGAGTAGTTATTTTGCGAGTAGTGGAACGCGCTCGTCTAGTCGTTTTGGTTCCTGGGAGGAGCAGGTGGGTGCAGGAGGACGGGGAGGGAGGGCGAGGAGGAGGGCCGGAGGGGGCGGGGGAAGGGGGGCAGAAGGGAGACCCGGGAGGACGAGGGAGAGGTGGATGGGGACAAGCTGGATGCGCAAGCGTCTTATCTGACGTCCTACCCCTCCCTTCCATTCCTTGCCGTGACGTGGATCGCTCTGTTCGCACAGTCGGATGTCGAGCAGGGCACTGATCCCGAGAGGGTGATGCGTGGTAGTGCACGGCGTAGCACGGCGTAGAAGAGTACGTGTAGAATGAGAGTCAGCGTTGGTCGAGAGCGCGATTCATTTAGACAACAGGTTCTGAGGGAAACCAGACATGACGCATGACGAAACATATACATGGCCGATTCGGACACAGTGGATGCGCAACATGAGAGCCAGCGTTGCAGCGGGAACATGCTCTGGAAGAGCCGCAGCGAAGAGATGAGGTCGGCGCTGCAGCGGGAGTATGATGTCGGAGGGCCGAGGGCCAGAACATGGAGCCGACGCTGTAGCGGGAGCGCCATGCTGGAAACCCCGAAAATGCTCGGGTCGGACATACACATATGATCGACCTCTTTCGGGGCATCCCAGGTGTGTACTCAAGGGAGGAAAAACCATGCGGACCGGACAATTGGCGTTCACTAAACGACCTTGGGCGTTTACTAAACAGCCCTGCTCCGTTTTTGATGCCTTCTTTGGGTGCGTCTACGAAACGGCTTCGCGTGTCGGGTTGGCTATCGTCGGGGTGGATGTTCTGCCCTCTTATGTAAAACATAAGTACGCGGAGGGGGGCAGGCTGCGCCTTCGGGGTCCTCGGGCGAGCGAGGAGAGTAGCATTCATGTTGTATCACTGTGGAGGGGGCTCCTCCTCCTCCTCCTCCTCTTCCTCCTCCTCCTCCTCCTCCTCCTCCTCCTCCTCCTCCTCCCCCTCCTCCTCCTCCTCCTCCCCCTCCAGCCGTTCTGGCAGAGGGGGCGATCCTGTGCTTGCACGCGCGTACTTCAGAGCGGCTCGCGCGTGCGGGCCAAGTATTTCTCGTTTCCCTCCTACAGGCCAGC